ACATATAGTATGTCCACTGTATGCTTGGCTGGAGGACGTATTTAACCTATTGCTGGCAGTCACCTTATTATGCGATGACCACCAACTAGTGACAGTAGTGAAAATTGACTGTGTAGTTGAGTCTTTGATTGCTAAATGGTTAAAAACAAGCCCTTTCCTGAGAAATAAATATTTGTCCGACCCAATGCAATCAAGCAGGGTGGTCAAATGAGGAGGGTTAGAAAAGACTTCAGGTCTACTTTAAGGGCTTGTTCACACCAAGCGTGTTATAGAGCAGTTATAGACCGGATCAAAACTGCGTCCAATGTATTCCAATGGTATTTTGGGCTCTAGTTCACACCGCAGCGTTCAGTTCCAGAGCATGTAAAAAAAACTGCAACAAGCCCTATTTTACCTGCTCTGGAACGCATGCAAACGCCCTGGACCGCACTGAAAGCCCATTCTAAACTTAAAAAAATAATATTTTTTTTAACCAAAAACGGCCCAGAACGCATAAAAAATGCGGCAAAAAAAACACAGTATAACCCACTGCACTGTGTGTGCAGAAACTCATGCAGATCTGGTCTGCATTTGGTCTGAACAAGCCCTAAAGATCGGCCCCCTTGAGCTCAAACCTGAGTTAGTTTAGGTAGTCTAATCATTAAGTGCATGAAGTGGGGAGGTCAGCAAAGGTAAAATGTTTGTTTATATTGGAAAACTATTTTCAAGATGGGAAAATGTGCAGTACTTAAAAGTAACCAACCAGTGATCTTATATTATCATTTTCACAACTCAGTTAGTGAAAGCAATATGTGATTGCTGCAGATTACAAGAGAGAATTGGCTATTATGTTTTCTTTGTTATTCCACAGTAGTGCACCATTTGTGAGGTAAAAGCCTTAACAGTCCCTTAAGTGATTTCAAAATGATTTCCTGCTTACATATGTCACAGAATTTTTTTGTTTACTGGAAAGTGAAGCAGCAACTGTTGTTATTGAGGATGTGGAATGGGAACAGTTCTGTTAGACATCAAAAGCCATATTTAACAATGCTACAAAAACAAGTTCACCGAGTGTGACGTACAGTTACCCACAGCAACCAGCCGAGATGGGAAATTCAGTTTACAAATCTGCCAAGGTATTGACATTAATGTGCTACGCGATATTGAGCGACGAGATGTGAACAGCTCCATTGAAATGGATGGAGAAGCTACATAGAGCAATATCGTGTGGAAATATGAGCGAAATCGCGCGATAAATCGCTCAGTGTGAATGGGGCCTTAGGGTGCTTGAATGCATTTTTTATTTCACTCCTGAGTTTTTAACCTTTAGGAATTTCACTGACAAGACAGTTGGATTCCCTACTTAGGTCTCAGTTGTGTCACTTCTAGAGATCAGATCCACCATGACAGAGAGTCTCCACCAGTAGAAGACAAACAGTTCCTGAGCTAACTCAAACTGAGACCTAAGTAGGGTATCCAACTGTCTTGTCAGCGAAATTCCTAAAAGTAAAATAAATCATCAACCTGTTGAGTAGTATATCTGTGAAGGTGGATGACTGAAGTGTCTACAGCTGGGCAGAGATCACTCATCAATACATTTCCTTTCAAAGAGAAAAGGCTCTTTCACATTGTCAGAAGGAAGCAATCATTCCAAAGGTTGTTGGCTGGAACAGTAGGCTATTAGATTATCAAGAACTCCTTGCAAATCTGATATATGGAACTTGCTAAAATGCAGGTTCTTCAGGTGAAGGTTGCGAAAATCTTAGTCAGAGATGGAAATTGGAACCTCATGCACACTTAAAGATGGAGGTCCAGTAAGATCAGAATTGAATTCTGCCCTGGATGGTGCCAAAACATGTTTAGAACCTCTGCAGGCAGATTGCTGAAAAGTCAGATGAAAGTGGATAATAAAGATGTTGTGGACATATTAGCCTCCTGCTGTGAAGAATGACTCTATAGTTATAAGGGGTCCCAGGATTTAAGTCATGGCTGTCGGATTCTTCTGGGGATATCATGATATTGCCCCTAATACCCATGGATTAGTATAGGCTGTGGTCACCACTGCAATGGGACATCAATGCCTAGATCCCTCTTTTATCAAATGGCTCCCAATGGAACCAACTATAAGGCAGCTCTTAGTGCTTCAGCCCAGACAGTCTTACTCAATATATGAGTCCTCAAAAGACTGGGTCAAAGCAGAGGTTGTGCCACAGCTCTGGGCTTTGAGAGCACACTAGAGCTAACACACCTAAGTCTGGAAAGCACCACTATATAGAGCTCAGTGCCCAAAGGTCACATTCCATTTTAGTCTCATGACGACTAGAGGCCCATTCACTACATAAGTCTTCAGAGACTGGATAACACTAGGTGCTACCCCCCAATTGTTCATTCCAGCAGGGTCTGGGTATGGTCTCCAAAGCGGTTGCTGATAAGCGAATTTGAGCGAGCGATGGTATGTGTTCGCTCACTTCCTGATCTACTGAGCCGACCTGTGACAGTTTCATTGTCCGACGTCGGCTCGAACTATGAGGTTGAGTGAAAATCACTAGCCTCATAATTCTCCTTTAAGCAGCATGTATGAAGTCTTGATTGAAGTTACTGAAGAAAAAAAATATCTACAGAGTATCTTGGTTGAAGAAAAAATAAAAGGCTACCAAACAAACATAGTTCAAGTTGAGTAAAGGACATACAAACTCCTAGGACACTAGCAAACAACTGAGGCATAATGGTTGGAGGTGGGGTTATATGGAGTCTGGCTTATTTTTGGTTTGCCAGTGTACCAACTTCCTGAAGGCAGCAGTATAATGCAAATGTCAAAGAATGACATGGCTAAAGCACCCTGTCATCCCTGTCAGCAGTGCTGGTGGAATAAAAAAATCTTGTAGTTATATACACCCTTTTTTAATATTGCAAAACCTGTTGATGATGTAATTCTATCTATATGGTACTGGGCCTAGGTATGTCACAGGAAACATAGGGGATTCACCTCCCCGGATTTCCTCGCAGGCTGGCAGCACAATAGCAGTGGCCCCATTTTTAAAACAGCTTTTATAAGGGACATTGAAAAAAAAACCTGTTGTCATTCCCGGTGAAGTGAATGTGACATTTTTTTTTTTTTTAAATCCAGTTTGCTGATTTTTGGGGAGATGAGGCTCCAGGAAGTATATCTTCCATAGGAATGACTGGTAGCACATTAATATTTCATTTCATCCCATCACATGTGCTGCAACCCATTAATTTTAATCAAATATTCACTTGAAAATGAATGGAAAACCAGCACATGGTATTGTTCACTTTTGTACATATTTGCATGCAACAAAAGGGTTCACGAGTAAACCAATAAATAAAGCAGACCCAGGTGAAAAGGTATTGTGTTGAACTGCTTTACTCATCGATCTGATGAGTTAGTTATAATGCCCCAAGTGGGCACAAATAAAAGATACAGATCAAACAAAATGCATGAAGTGAGATTAAACCCCCCAAAAGAGATTTTCGTTGAATGTAATAATGATTCAGTACAACTAAACAACATCTGAAAATCATTACTTAGAACTCTGAACCTTTCTCCTCTTTAAGCTTAGTATGATGACTTCCATATCTGCTTTTTGGCAATGTCAGCTGGATGAGTTGGTAATGCTAATTCCCACCATGACAAGAAAAATACTTTGCAAAGTCTCTGTTGATCCTTTGCTACTGACACCATTATCTCATTCTAGAATAAAACAAGGGGGGAAAAAAAAGAAGAAGGACTAGAACTTCCAGTTCATTGCATGTGCACATAAAAAGTTACACTGCAAAAAAAAAAAGTCCCACTAAATTAAAGCGGAAGTGAAGTTGAAAAGGAAAATTGCTAGGTGGTAGAGTTTTAGGTAGAAGAGACTTGGTATATACCTTCCCTTTTTTTTTTGCCTGCAGGTGCAAGAGCAGTACATTGTATATGCTCAGCATCAGTAAGATGTACATCATAGAGTATCAAATGGCTGAAGAAAGAATATGCCAGGCTGGAAGAACACCAGCAGACAATAGCGGTGGTGAGCACTGACCTGTCATAGCTGGAGGAGGGCAAATTAATTGGCATCTCTGCCATAACAGGCAAGTATGCTCTGTACAGTCCAACATTCACAGAAGACTTGGGGCTCATTCACACCTATGCTTTGCAATAACATGCACTTTACCTCCAAACACAAAGACATACATTACATAGGCTAGTGTGTTGCCATTCATTTTAAACAGCACCTCAACACACAAAAGCAATGCACCTGCATTGTGCTGTGCTGGTCCAGAAAACATGGTGCAGGCTGCTGGCAGCCCATTCATGTGTTAAATGCTCTGCAACGGAACACCTAGGTGTGAATAGGTCCTGAAGGTGGGCCCTGCATTAAAATGCAAGGTCCGGCTATTACATTCTGCCTACCCCCACATTTTTATCCAGCTACAACACAGTGGTCCGACATTGGAAAGGGGGGTGGTTGAGAGCAGAATGTAATAAGGGAATGTTTATAATTAAAGCAAACCTAGTCTTGATGATATGTTTTTATGCTAAGTGCATGCACATTGGGCAATGTAGAAGTGTCACACCTAGGGGTATGTATAACCTCTCAAAGATGTGACAGTACTCTTCCTGGTAATGCCTGCCTCTTTCTCCCCAAAATGCTGGCACTACCTTTGTTCAGGAAACAGCCAGCATCTACTTCCTATGATAATATTCTGTCCCATAAATAACAATCATGCAAATCCTGACTCCTGCATAATAATCTTTATCTTGGCAGTTTGCTGTATATTTAACACAGATTAGCCCCCTGACTGCTGCCTCTCACTTTGACAGCTGCCTGAATATTACAATGTTATAAAAGCCCAGCGAGTGATTGCTGGGGGAGGGATGAACTGCAGCTCATGGACTTCTTTTTTAATGATAAAATGTGCGCTTTTGGAAAAAAGTATACTGTGTATATTGTAACATATTAAGAATGTATTTGGACACAATTTTACTGATGGACTCACTTGGCTTCATCAGCACTTACCTTGTTGTGTTCATACTTGTATGGGATTTTAAGGGTATCCATGGCCCGGATCATAGCTTGCATTGCAGTGAATATGTTCTGGTACACAAGTTTAGTGAAACCCCTTTTGTCTTCATCAGAGTATCCAGATCCATGGATAATTCGCATTTGCTTTATAAATGTGCTTTTTCCACTTTCTCCTGTGCCTAAAAAATAGATAAAAAAGATGAATGAACTAGAGCACAAAAATGAATAATATGCCAGCTAAGGTATACAGTAAATGTTTTCTTGTCATAAAGGAAATAGAGAACAGTGGACCCTCATGGCTGAGGTAGAAAAGGATAGTATTAGAAACAATTCAGTTTTTTTACTGAAACCTGACCTTGGTCAGGTCTAAGCAAAGTAACAGTTAGTAGAAGGTACCACAAGAAATGCATACTTGGTTTATGATGAGCTGGTGATGCAAACCCATTAAGGCCTCATTTACATTAAGGCTGTACCCCTAAGGTGAAAAGCTGTAGCGGGGACCATAGGTGTTTGTGATCAGTCTCGGCCAAGAAGCTTGTACAAATGACAGGTTGACAGGAGCCACAGCTGTCTGCAGCAGTTCAGATGTAAGTGCATGCTGAGTGGTAACATAAGGCTGGAGACGAATAAGCATCCCTGTACACAGTTTTCATCCAGGGCTGCTCACCTGTCCGTAGCTGTATGTAACCACACATTGAAAAGCCTCAGCTCCTGGCAGGCCGCCATTGCTATGTACTGGCTTCCTGGCCGTGTCTGATCGTAAACACCAGCGATCCCTAACGCAGCTTTACACTAATTGTTTGGTGTACAGCTCTAATCGGCTGAGTGAAGGTAGGCAGGTTTAAAAAAAAAAAAAAAGGTAGGAAAGAAAATCAGCGCACAGATCTCCTAGTACAGGTCTTGCCATGGAGAAAAAAGCTGAACTAAACAGACCTATGTTAGATCTAAGAGCAAGTGGATGTGCATCTGTTTTCCTTCCTTTTACCTCTGATGCAAGTGTGCAAAAACACAAAGCTGATCATACAATGTAATATTTTCTTTGTCCAACCTGTGGGCTGAACAAAGAAAATATTGCAGATTCTTCCATCAATACAATGAAAACAAACAGCGGCCGCCGTCAGGATACCTGAACAGAGCCAGCAGCTTATCGGCTGCCCGCTCTGTTCATTCGAAGATTTTCCAAGTGGCTACTTATCCTATCTGATTATCCTATTGAGGCATGTCGGCCTAAAGGGTGCCAACAGTGGCACCCACTGTGCAAATTTCAGTCGGTTCATCAAAATTCAGCCGAAATTTGCATAGTGTATGGCCAGCTTAACTCCTCCATTTCTTTCGGCCTTGGAGATAACCAGGTGTAAATACCTGCACGTTTGCTTACATCCGCAAGACCACACACTAACATTATGCTTTAGATCAGGTCCGCCAGAAAAAAACGGACACGTAGATCTGATCGGACCACCCATGAAAGACTCTCTCAGTAACATTTACTATAGACACTCTATTCAAAACTGTCTGCCGTCAGCTGTGGGTTAATACATGTCACAATAGTTTGCACTGTTACCGACATAAAAAAAAGAGAAATGTAATCCAACAAAAGAAAAGCTTTTGCCATACATCAATACCACGGAAGACTGGTCCTAACTAGACAAAATTCTGTATCCATACAAGAAGATACCAGGAAGTGTGCTTATCAACATAAGCCGAATGTTGCTGTACTTACTCCGCACTTGAGCACATGCTAAAAATGTTTGGTTCTTTTTTGGGGGGTTTTCTAGCCCAGAACAGCCTAGGATCTTATACGAGAATATCCTGTTTCCGTGGACTTTCTATGGGGTACATCTAAGAAAAATTAAATTAAACATATTGGGGAGAATTTATCAAAAGTGGAGCAGACAGAATCTGGATCAGTTGCAAATGGCAACCAATCAGCTTCTCTCTTCCGTTTGCTCAGTTAAGATTTGAATATGAAAGACAGAAGCTGATTGGTTGCCATGCACAGCTGCTCCAGATTTTGTCTGCTCCACTTTTGATTAATTAAGCTCATTGAGGGGAATTTGACACTAAGAAACATATTTTAAAGCACAACTAATGCCTCCTGTATGACAGTCCAAAGTATACTATGTTACTACAGTGTGGAAAATAATGATTTGATCCCCTGCAGATTTTGTACGTTTGCCCACTTACAAAGAAATTAAAAGGTCTATAATTTTTATCGTATGTGTATTTTAAATGATAGAGACAGAATATCAACCAAAAATCCAGGAAAAACACATGATACACATGTTAGAAATTGAGTTACAGTTCAGTGAGTAAAATATGTATTTGATCCCCAAGCAAAACATGACTTAGTACTTGAAGGAGAAACCCTTGTTGGCAAGTACAGAGGTAAGACGTTTCTTTACAACACACACAGGGACCATGAGGAACAAAAGTAGCCACCCTCCAGAAGGAAGGACAGTGTCGGCGTGAATTCAGCAACAGAGGCAGTGCTCACAATGCAGAAAGCATGGGACTATGTATGTATGTATGTATGTATGTAGGTCTGGTGATGATTGACTAACTACAGACTTGTGAATCATTAGCAACTGCAACACATTTTCATCCCACTGTAGTACAAGCAGGCACAGCCTACATGAGTGGCAACTCTGCTCTGAATTCAGGAACAGTGCAGCATTGTTGTCACACCATCACAGGAGCAGCTGCATTAGGTGGATTTCATTGGCTCAACAGGCATTTGTGGGACTTTGCTAGGGGTTTAACAGAAAACTAAGTACAGATGAACTCATAAAAAAGTGCTGAAGCACATAGTTTTTATTGGGAGGCCATAGTTCTACTTGAACGAAAGGACATTTTCAGAATCTGTGGGAACTGCATGATACATAAATCCTAGTGTACATACAGCAAAGATGCACTGTCACTCCTTACTTTATGTTAATTAAAACCCATAATAACCCCTAAATCAGAAATCGGTTTCTAGAGACTGAATGTAGTCAGACTAAGGTCTTGCATAGATGGGCAAATGCAGCGTGCGTGTAGATACATTCAGTTTGAGTTCTATCCAAGTTCCATTCTAGGTCCATTGACCTGCAGCTGACTTCTTCTCACATGTATCGGACCATCTTCAAAGCTACAGGAAGCAGCTTTTACATTTCATTTGACTTGCATAGGGAGACAGACAGTTGTGATGTGAACAAAAGACCATTTACAGAGGCCCTAATGTAATCTGAGGTCTCCTTGGCATCAACGTCAATTACTTGGTCACCTCCTTCGTGAAATGCAAACAAGGAATATGGAAACTGCTTTCATACCACTATAGCTATCAAAAGCATTCTACATTTGTGTTGCTAGTATGCATCTCCTTTAGAGGTTGCCACCTATTTAAAGCCAGTGCCTCAGATTTGTATTTTATTGTGAGCAGGCTGGTGACCACTGTAAGAAGGTAGTTGTACAGAAATGACAAATGCTCATCACATCATTAATTTCCCAAAATAAAAGAGTTTACACATTATCTTCTCTACAATGAAAAGCACAGAGAATAGGATGGAAAATTGTACAAGCACTTTGTTATAAAATGATCATATTCAAATCCTACAGTACTACAGAAGAGATGCATCATTTCTACGAAGGCTTATCTAGTGTAGTATGTGATAAACAAGCATTGTTTCTCCTCCAGACATGTAGTGTACAAAGCAACAGGGGAGTTACAAGGAACAAATGCAGGAAGGAAAGCTATCAGTGCATGGAGATGGTTATGTGCAGTAAACACATGACATTATTTTTATACAGACATGGACTGCCTCACGGTATGCATTAAGGTGTGACACAGTCTGCCATATTAATGAGTGTATTTAAAAGGGGGAATAAATATCATAAGTTAAATTTCCATTTAAAAAAAAAAATCAACTAAAAAAGAGTCAATAGACCTGCAGCACTCCTGCTTTAGTTACACTAGCTTTCTCTTAGCAGGCTGAATACAGTACTGCACCTACATGACCTGCCTAGACTTCAACGGGCTGCTGCTTATGGATGGATCAACTAACAATCTGCTTTCCAGCTAAAGCATACAGTAGGGCCATTGATCAGAAGAAGAAAAAAAAAAACATATCAGGTTTCATCCTTTTAAAAAAGGAAATACGTCACTTGATTGGTTATTATGAAAGAAAGCTAAACTCTTTGGCTCAGATTTTAACGCAAGAACCACAAGGCACTAGTACAAGTTACAATACTAGAAATCTATAGCCATATTTGCAAGCTTTCACTGTCATGTTACCTTTAAATAAGGGCAACTTTATTTAAAGATAACAATAAAAATGCAGCTTCTACGTCTGGTCTGCTCCACTCTACCTGGTCACAGAGGATGCCCATCAAGCTAAAAGAACCAATAGGTAGGCTTTGGAGTCAGGGAAAGGCAAGCTAATTTCCACTATATTAGGTATAAATCTAAAAAGACCGGCCGGGCTCCGGTTGTGGTTAGTACTGTATACTGTTTGTGCACAAGGAGAGGAGGGCAGTCTGCGACTGCAGGGAGGAAAGCACATATCCGTGGTGGAGAAGTTTCCCTCTCCCCCCTTTGAAATGTTCCCCCACCAACTCCCACTGCCTGCACTTTTCCCCCCACATGGTACATTGCGCTGTATAATGTATTGCTGGGATTTGTATTCCTCTATAGCTGATGATACATCGTGCTGTATAATGTATTGCTGGGGTTTGTATTTCTCTATAGCTGATGGTACATTGCACTGTATAAGTTATTGCTGGGATTTGTATTCCTCTATAGCTGATGATACATTGCGCTGTATAATGTATTGCTGGGATTTGTATTCCTCTATAGCTGATGATACATTGTGCTGTATAATGTATTGCTGGGATTTGTATTCCTCTATAGCTGATGATACATTGTGCTGTATAATGTATTGCTGGGATTTGTATTCCTCTATAGCTGATGATACATTGTGCTGTATAATGTATTGCTGGGATTTGTATTCCTCTATAGCCGATAGTACATTGCACTGTATAATGTATTGCTGGGATTTGTATTCCTCTATAGCTTATGTACATTGCGCCTTATTTGTGTATCACTTGGCAGTAGACCATCTGAATTGGTGCTGACACTGTCCGTCATTCTGGAGGGTGGCTACTTTTGTTCCCCATGGTCCCTGTGCATGTTGTAAAGTAGTCA